CCCTTTCCTCGAAAGCATCGCGGTTTCCTTCTTTTTCTTTACCCAAGAAAAATGCGAAAATAACTTTAACGTCGTCTTTATATACGAGTACTTAACAGATTTTAGCGTCGAACAAGGCTATTTAAGGTCACAAATAATTTGAGCTAAAATATACCAATGATAAAATTACTGCTTAAAAACGCTTAAAGAGACATATTTTTTTTTAATTATTAGAACGGAAATTAAATTGATGCTTGAGCATTCTCCTATTCTCGAATGAATAATTAATATAAATTAATATGAAATTAATTAATATGTAACACTTTTTCTTGATGCACTAAAATGCCATTCCTATTTTGAGAAAAATTCACTGTCACAATCAAGAATTATAAATTTCGATACGAATAGCTGTCTCTCAGCAGTGTTATCTTGGTAACAATAACTGGAGAAAAACTTTAAATATATAAGTATATTTAAGTATAAATTAAATTCTATATATTTATTTTTAACATACCTTGCAATTAATTTTCCTTCGTCGAGAATTTAATTTCAAGTTAAATCAACTATTTAATATCGCAAATGAGTAAGCGATGATAAATTTAGCATATTTAACATCTTCTCTACGCGCTTCAAGTAAAAATCATCAAAGTAAAATTTTTTTTACAAATATATATATATATATGTATATAAATATAAATTTTAAAAAATTAACGTAAAAATTGAATCTTCATGAGGCAAAGTGAAAACGACTCCAACATTTCCTGAGACTAGAATCCTGCGTGGCGTATGAAAAAAAGTCTACATTAAGCACATAAGAAAGTTATTTCAACTTCTCGTTCCGTGTGTTTTTTACGACTCTATATTTAACGAAGCGCTAATTCGCACGATAAGGTGGCAGAAGATTTTGCGTATATGAGTTTCTTAGAACTACGATAAAAATGTCGTTCTCGGGCAAACCGCGCGCGCGCGCACACGTCGCCCGGTCCTAGTGAATCCCGTGGATTGTAAAGCTTCCACGGTCACGTGTGCGCGGAAAAAGTTTCCTCGTGTCAAGAGAAGGCACGAGGCGGGCGACGGAGGCGCGTCGCCGGGCTATTTACTCCCTTATTTATTATTTTTCGCGCGGACTATCACCACCTCGCTCTCCTCCCTCGCCCGCCTCGTCCTTCTCCCTCGTCACGATACACGTGAAACTTTCCCGCAGGATTCCCCGTGGGATCGGTGTCCGTTTCCACCGCGAAGTTGCGCCCCCGAGGGGTGGAGGATGGCAACGGCAGTTCGGTAACTCGGAGACGAGGGGAGGACGGTGGGCGTGTGTGTGTGTATGTCCTTGGCAGGGTGGCAGACAGACCGACATCGGTGGCATCCGGGAAACTTACGGAGTTACGACGTCGACGACGCGAATTGGCGGAGGGGGAGGAGGGGGGAGGGCGCTGATTAACGATAACACTAGCTCCGCACGCGACGACGTCGCTCTCGCGACTCTCCCGCGGCGGAATTGAAAGACGACGCGACGGTGAGAAGACAATGACACGCCGCGTCGCGGCGCGGATTCGCACGGGAGCACGTGCGCGTCGTTCGCCGTGTTATCGTTCGCGCCGGATTTCCGAGTGGGAAAACGTTCCACATTGACCGTTTCCATCCGGCAAATCCTCAGGGAGAAAACGCGATTTAAAAAGAGATGCGCGTTAATTCCGACTTGACGCGCGGAGCGAACAGCGACAATAGTAGGTAATAAGTTGCAACGAAGTTGGCACGCGCGTGGCCAGGGAGCGAGCGTGCACAACGACCGACGCGAGTTATACCCTAACCGAATTCCGTTAATTGATTCGCCGGTTGAGTTCGCGTGCTAATTAATTCGCTGACAAATTTCATTCGGAATACGGCCGTGCGGGGCCGAGTTTGCGCAGGGAGAGAGAGAGAGAGAGAGAGTTAACTAGTTCCCAATGATGACCGGCAGCGCACGATGACACGCGCAGATTCCAAGCAGTATTATAAGCGCAACCGTGTGTGTCGCACGTAGGACAAGAGACGAGGGGACTCGGCGAGGAGGGGTGAGCGCGGCGAGGGACGAACCGTCGCGTCGCACCCGCGCTCGCGCCCGGGGGATCGTTCATAAATTATGGACGCATTAATTATAACGGAGTTTGCGGACGCGGAGTGTTTAGATTGACTTGACGGCGAAATGGCCGTGTGGCGCGCGTCCCACCCGCGCGCGCTCGCTCTCTCTCGCATGGTCGCGCGCGCCCCGTTGCGCGCTCGCGGGACCGCGTTATATCCCGATTGATCAAAGATATATGCAAGGGGCCGTAGGTATCGGCTTAATTAATTAACCCGCATAAATAATGTAGTTGCCGAGGCTGATTTGGCCGCGCGAGCGCGGTTAACGACCATTGTATCGACAGGATTTCCTCCTGTTTCAATGCCCGCGCCCGCGCCTTCGGCCGACGGCTTCGAGGCATCGAAGTCACCGTCGATCGACGGGACGTGAAGCGCGCGACAAGTATTGCTTCTCAGATAACATGAATCAACGTTCAACGTTAATTGTTGTCACACAAAAATCTGTCGTATTTACGAAATATCTACACGGAAAGAACACTTTTGCTGAATCCAGATCTGAAAATAATTTTTGTTCAATAATCAAAATAATTTTGCGCAAAAGTGAAAATGATTGTTGAAGCATCAAAATGTTTTATAGCAATGCTTATCAGTTTTAACATTCCAACAAATTATTTTAATGATATAATAAAAAATTATTTTCAGATCTGTTTTTAGAAAAATTTTTAGACCTTTGAACAAAATCGTTCTTTCCGTGTATCTACACGTAAATTTTCACGACGCGTTCAAAATATTCGCTTGTATACATGAAAGTCCGAAGTTACTTCGGAGTTTCTCGCTCTTAAGGTACCTGTGTCATCGGTGAGAAGTAGAGGAGAAAGAGAAAAGCGGGCGAGGTGGTTAGGAAGAGATCGAAGGAGGGTTAGTTATACGGCGAGAATATAGCGGCAGTGTGGGTTTCATGCGGCCGTTTCCCGGAGGTTTAGTGAAGCGAGAAAGAAGTGAAGCGAGAAGTATGACACAGACCTCAGAGGTGTTGGCGACATCATTTGTTGGGCTACTGACCGCGTTGTTGGAGTGCGTTTGATCCGTCTTGAGTTCACGGTGATTGCTGAACTGCACGTAGACCGCTCTGCCTCTGAGTTGGGCCACACCGGAAGCGTAGTAGGTCACCATGGTCGCCGCAGCGTTCTCGTCCGCCATTTCAAGAAACGCCTGCAACATAAGAGGGAAAAGATTCCCCGGTCAGTTATATACGGAGGCACGCAGAATGTCCCATTTGTAAATGTTTCAAATATAGACGTGAATAAATCGAACGTGCAAATAAATATATCACATTTCGAACAAGCGCACGTTGTTAATCTTGCACTAGGAAAAACGTTTCGTCCTATATGAATCAAAATTTTGATTGAAATGTACCGGACAGAACTGTCCGGTATAAACAAATATTTTTGTCATTTAAAATCGTTTGTTACGCGGAACAAAGCGTAAAAATGTATTTTGCAGAGTGCAACTAGATTTTTTTTTGTTATATAAAACAAAATGTTTGGTTGCTGTTGAAAAAAAAATGCCTCGGTTAAACAGTTTGGTCGAAGGCGCACTAAATTCCTTTTCCTATAGCGTGACTTAATTTTCTTTTTCTCTTGACGTTAATTGACGATAATTACATCGCACGATTCTTAAAACGTTTATTTTAATTTGGTTAAATATTTAAACGACCAGAACACACACATTGTACATTTACGAGACTAATGAACCGAGGTCCGATGTATGATACGCTTTCACTACTTTAACCACTTGACTGTAAAATGCCGCGTATACGATTTCACAAAGCGTTTACGTTTTGCAGTCGCTCTCGTTGCCGTGCAAAATCTCCTTGCACAGTTTGAGATGACGGGGGGCAGGAGAGGGGGGGGGGGCACGACTGTCCAAGTTTGCGCAGTTACTTTAACCCGAAACCGATCTCGGCGAGTTATGTCGAGATTCTTTTCTGATTTATGCGCGGAAAGGTAAAACATGCAGGAAGGAACGGAAAGCATTTTTATATTTACCTCGGAGCGCAAGTCGTAATGGAATATCTGAAACTCGCGTACGCGGGCAAACACGCTCGGAAACAGACGGCAAAATTTCGAGGGAACCGAGAGACGAAAACGTGGTGACGCGAGATGAGGTGAGGTGAGGCGGGGCGGGGCGGAGGGGGTTTTGGCGGAGCAAATTTGTACGCACAGGAATTTCGTTTTAATTATACGTCATACCGCCGGCAAGATGGCAATTGGTTCCGCAAAAATGTCCTCCTTTCATTCGGACATTCTCGTTCTTTCTCGTTTTTGCATTAATAAACGTATTCTTACGGGGCAGCAACTTTTCTTCTATCGTACAATTGTATTACGTGTCTCGTAATAATTTATATTGTAATTTCGTCGGGAAATAAAAGTATAACCATATACATATATATATATATATATATATATAACGCGGGCGAAAGAAAAACGTCTCTCCTGAGACGCCGAGTGAATTTCGCTTGGATTCCTTTCTCCTTTGAGGAGTGTTCATGAAATTAATAATCCCCCCGTATTTCTAAATCGTCCTCGTGCGCAACTCGGCGTAAAGGAAAATTCCCCGAAGACACTCGGGTCGCGAAGTCGCATCCGCGACAGTCAAGTGGTACGTTTATCGAGGAAAACTTAATAAAAAGCATTACCGCCGCACCGTGCCGTCCTCCGACCCGTTTTTATCAATGCCCGTGCGCTGAAGGAAGAAGAAGGGCACGATTTCGCCGAGAATGGCGAGATAGAAATCGAGCCCCAGACATAGAGAAAATTGATTCGCCCCGGCGGAGGAGCTAGGAGGTAGAGGGAGTGGAGAGAGAGAGAGAGAGAGAGAACAGCGAGAAGATTAATAAAACGTCGCGTAATCGTCTTGAAGTGCGGGCGAGGATAACGTTTCGCGATAACTGCATTTTGCAAGCTCATAATATATATAAACGGCGGATAAGCAGGGGAATGAAAGGAGCGCAGGGCGGGAAGGAAGGAAGGAAGGAAGGAAGGAAGATGTTTATGTGCGGATCTCTCGCGCGGTTATATTCGCCACCGAACAGTCTACACGGAGTCGCCTCTCCGTTTTCCGCGCGATCCATTTTCAATTCAATATCGATGCATTTGCAACACTCGCTTCTTCTTCCACTCCCTCTTCCTCCCCACTCTCTTTCTCTCTCTTGAGCATTTCTCCTTTCGCGTTCAACACCCGCCGTCTTTTCGCATCGATATTGATATTACTTAAAGCCTCGTCTCCCCGTCGTCGTGACCGGAGGAGAAAGACGCGACCGGCATTGAAACGCGAATGGATAGTTCCTTACGTACAAAAGCGCGAGGGCTCGCCGCTCGATTGCGGGGATCTCCCGGCGAGTCAGCTGGATTCGTCGTTATTGTGTAACCGCCTCCTCCCCCCTCCCCCGTGCGCAAGTCAAGCACTACGGGAAAGTGCCCGTGGGGCACGTCTTATTACGCGTTTTAACTTGATAACTTTCTTAAAATTTTATTATATCCCGTCGTAAGATAAAAAGACATAGAAAAAAAATGATCTACATAGTTTGCAACGTGCCTTTTTGCAAACTACCACGAAGCGCTTTTTGAGCGCTTCAAAGAAAAATCTGATATCGAGAAATGCAATTTTATCCGGATAAAATATCCCTCTCGTTGTTGTATGTTTTACGTTTGGCAAAACTGATATAAGTTCTCTCTCTCTCTCTCTCTCTCTCTCTCTCTCTCTCTCTCTCTCGTCGTTAAATGATATTACGCGGCATGTTGCCTATTGATTGCGTGTTAGTAGTTTCCGTGATATTTAATTTACTTCTCTGTGTAAATTATACACGCCGTGTTTGAATATTCGAAGGAGCCATCCTCGGCGTGTGTGTGTATTTATATTTTTTCCGAGTTAATAAAACGAGAATTAGAGCGAAGGAGAGCAGAGAGAAATAACAATTTCACGCATATATCGTATTTCAGGAAAGTTTACAGGAGAGGTTACAATCTCGTATATAATTTCAGAGCATAAGATAAATATAACGCTGTGTAAACACACGCGCAAATATGACATTAGCATTTACTTTCCGCACTTCTGGAGAGATTAGTGCTTAACGCGCGAGAATGAGAATCAGAACGAATTTCCGGAAAAGTTCGTGATTTGCCGCCAAGCTGAATGCCGCCCGTAACGTACCGAATACGAGTTCGCTCGCAAATACAGCCGGGTAATCTATAGCGTCAGTTAATCTGAGCAATGAACTAGATGAGGGAATTATTATTAGCGTTACGCGCGAATCGCATTGTTTGGAATTTATCTAACTACGCACGTCAACGCGTTTTGGATTTGTTACCCCGGACACTTACGCTAATTACAGCGTATGCGGCGGACAAATTAATTAATTGTGTAACACACGACAAGTGAAACACTAAGCAAACAGCGGGTATTACTTCATGCGGGTATTTGTGTTTACTTCAATGAACTATCCTTTGTATCCCGTACTATAATCTGCAGCCGATGTAATCTTTCCATTAGTGAAAAAGCAATTTGTTAATGTAGCGAATACAGCGCGGTTGTAATTCGCGATGCGTAAACAACGCATGTATCCGCCATGTGTCCATAAACAAATTATGACATATTTAATTAAATGCATGCGATTAAAATAAACATTTTAAGGACGCGCGCGTAATAAACGCATTTGTTTTTATCGAATATGAGGCATTGTGAGTTTTAGCGGCTCATCTCGTTTATATTTCTCCGTCCCCCCCGCCCCTCCCTCACACACACGTTCGATTATATCTCAACAAAAATTATTTACACGCTTGCAAAAATGCACTAGTAAAGTGTAAAAATATTGAAACCCTTTCTACCCGCGTAGTGGTTCATTTTGCATCAGTGAGGTGACCCAGTTTTTTTAGTTTGTGTATTATAGATCGAGAATATTTGCCGAATAAGCCATGAAAAATATTGGCAAAGCGACGAGATTCGATATTGATAGAACGTTAAAGGAAATAAAAATTTCTCGTCAGTAACTTTTCGAGCGTGAAGAAAAATTTATTTTGCTACATACGTAAAATAAAACACGCAAATTCTCGGACCGCGATTATCATCGAGACTCTCTCAATCTCTGCTGAATTTGGTGCAATTATTATAGACTATCACACGTAATAAAATTTTAGTATCGTAACTGTAAGGCCATCAACAAATCGACCAAACACAATCAAAATTGCGCTCTCGATTGTGATTGGTATCCATATATTAACGGTCTTACGATTACAACTACAATTTTTTTTACGTGTGAAGGCCGTTATATTCACTCTACACGGAGAGAATTTCCTTTTAAACTTTACCCTGAAAATCATGTTAATCGTGGGACAACATAGTATTTTGACAAATTTTGTCCGTGCACTATAATAAATTTGTTGTAGTATATATTAAAAAACATAGTAAAAATCACATAAAATTCGTCGAAATACTATACGTTGTTCTACAATTAACATGATTTTCAGGGTAAATTCTCTCCGTGTATGAACTCATTGACATGTAAAAATTAGTCACAGACTTAGATGTAATAGACATTTGTAATAAATTTTTAGAGTAATAAAAAATATAACTGTATCAAATTTAGCAGAGATTGGGAAAGTCTTGATGATAATCGCGGTCTGAGAACTGTGCGTCTTGCGTAGTAAAATAAATTTTTCTTACGCTTGAAAAAGTTACGGACAAGAAATTTTGTAGATGTAATTACGTCCAAGAAATTTTATACGTAAAAGGATGTGATGAGGAAGAAATATGGAAAAATCTCGTATCGCGATCTCGAATATACGAAATGGAAATGATAAAATTTGAGAGTGTCTTTTTCAATGATGAGTAACAAATATGCTAATAAATTAGTGCTCGCGATAAAAACGTGAGAAGCATCGAGAGAATGGCAGTCAAGGAGAGAGAGAGAGAGAGAGAGAGAGAGAGAGAGAAAAGAAATGTTCGTCGACGGAAATCAGGTCGGAGCGAACGATCGCTCATTCGCATTTCGCACGAGAGGGTCGGTCGTCATTTCGCGGAGCGGCGACGCTCATTCTGCACGACCGGACGAATGAAGGAGCGAATGAACGCGTAGTTGGCACAAGTGCGAATAATATCGCGGCCGACCGGCCGGCCGGACGGATCGACCGACCGACCCGGATTTAACGGCGTTA